GTTTTCGCTGTGAGCCGCTCCTCGTCATCCAGTAGCTGCCTCGCTGCTCGAAGGCTCCGTTCTTTCTCGTCGCGGACCCGACGCCAGCCCAAGTACAGGGCGAGGCCGAAGAGCACGAAGCCCACGCTGAGTCCCACTGCCCCGGCCAGGTACACCGGCACCAGCACCAACAACCGCCGCCCGAACGAAGTCAGCAGGGCCAGCGCCTCACCCGCCGCACCTGGCCCGGCAGGTTGGCCCCCGGAACCCGGGTCCGATGTTGTATGAGCAGCGGGGGAGTGGTCAGGGGGGTCGGAGGGAGCAGAGGGCTTGGGCATGGGGCTGGGGCTGGAGCCCTCTCCAGGAGAGAGCTCCATACTGCCACCTCTGGGAGGACCTGCCCGACCCACTAACCAGCTGGAGGTTGCCTGATCTTGATGCCAGTGCCCCTCTGCAAAGCGAGATCCCTCAGGTTGCGGGAGGGGACTTCAAGCCACGCCCACCCCTTTGACGATTTGGGTTGGTCTGCGCCGCACAGACCGAGGTGGAGTCAAAAGGTCGAAACTCCACCCCTCTTCCGCGGGGAAGAGGCTTCGGAAGGCAGGCCCTCCCTGATTGGACCAGAGTGCCTAGATGGGAGGTCTGGAATGGCGGGAAAAGGAAGAAAGGGACTAAAGGGCGGCATTTGATTGGTCAGGAGGACAAAGAGGCGGGGCGTACCATTTAAAGAGAGGCGGGGCCAAGCGCTCTCCCCCCGCGTAGGATTGGAGTGCCTATGGTATGACGTCATGCAGAGGCGTACGGCCAATTACTCCGCTTTAGAGAGAGCTGGAGTGCGAATTTGAAGGGCTGTGGAGGGTTCGGATTTCCTTCATCCATTCGGACGGTTGGCAGGATTTGGCCTGGGATTCCTATATATTCACTTTTGAACTTCCCGTAGTTTTTATACTCAAAGCACATTCCTTATTCAGTTTTCTCCTGGGTGCCCTTACAAAAGGAAAGGAATGATCCTATTTGGAATGAAAGTGTTTGATGACCGATCCTGTCTATCCAGTCCCGAATCCCATACCTTGTCTGTGCAGTGTAACGACTGACTCTAGAGAAAACTGGAGAATCAGAGAATTACAGAGTTGAGATAATATTGCCTTCAGGGAAGAAAAAGAGAGCGGAAGAGTGAATAGGAAGTGAGGCTTTATTTCTTTTCGGAAATCTCCAAGAGTTAGTCATTTCTATCACAGAGGATGAATTAAGAATAAATCGGTTCCAAAAGAGGGGGTAGGCGACTCAACTGCAGTAGAAATTATTACATTTTCCAAGAATTTCCTGAACTTCAGGAACTTCTAGGACAGTAAAATGAGGAATCAAGAGTAGTGAGACATTTGCCTGAGTTAGACGAAAGGTTTGGAATACAGTCAAGTGTAGAACTAATGCAATTCTGCATTGTACTGTGAGTTTGGGAAGGAAAAAGAGCAGGGTACACTGATGATGACTATTATTATATTAACTGGCCTTCGAGGTGGAGTGTTGTCCAGAGACCTAGAAACTATACTAATTGGAAGCTGAGGAGGGAAGGATTGATCATGATTATCTTTTAATGCTGTATATATGGGGCTTATTGTGTTATTCTGTCTGATGTAGCAGGGGAACTAGGGTTGATTGTTGGGGAGAAACTAGATCTGCAGCTGATAAATTTTTATCCGGCTCTGCAGGGCACAGATTTCATCACCCTGTGGTTTCATCGAAGCTGCTTAAAACCTGTCCCTACCCAGCCTCCCTCCATTAATCTTAAATTTTCTCACTTCCCTTTCTCTACTTCCCTGGGGCTGGCAGTATGTAGACTGCTTTATTGTTTGTAGCACCTCATCCTCAGGAAAGTCTAGTCCCAGCTGAGGCCCAGGAGCCACAAGATCAGCAGCTGCAATGCAGCTACCAGCACAAATAAACAGGGTGGGTCTCCGTCAATAGACAATCATTTGTCCAGGTGCCACCTGGTGGTGATAAACAGCAAGTGGGCCAACAGGAAGAGATGGCCATTTGTTAAAGAAAGTGTCTTACAGGGTGCGGTCTAAAGGAGGAGAGACAGTACCTAGACTTCCTGGACTTGCAATTTGTATTTATATGTAAACTATAAGTTGCCTCCTAGGGGATGCAGAGGGTCACATGTGGTATTCTGGTCTCAGTCCACTCACAAAGATGGAAGGAGCAACAAGATTTGACGAAATTTCTTCTGTATTATTTATTATTTGAAAGTTACTGCCAAGTAGTGAGTGGTACCATTGCTGGGTGGCCCTATCATTAGTTCTTTTTTTTTTTTTAAAGATGACCGGTGAGGGGATCTTAACCCTTGACTTGGTGTTGTCAGCACCACGCTCAACCAGTGAGCAAACCGGCCATCCCTACATGGGATCCGAACCCGGGGCCTTGGTGTTATCAGCACCGCACTCTCCCGAGTGAGCCACAGGCGGGCCCCTCATTAGAACTTTCTATGTCAAGTCTGGAGTCAGACTACCTGAATAGATTCCTGGCCCCATTCCTAACTAGTTGTAGAATCCTGGGCAGATTACTTTTTTTTTTTTTTGGCAGCTGGCCGCTATGGGGATTTAAACCCTTGACCTTGGTGTAATAACACCACGCTCTAACCAACTGAGCCAACCAACCAAAGAAATTTTCTTTTTTGGCAGCTGGCCAGTACAGGGACCCAAACTCTTGACCTTTTAAGCCTGCTTTTTCTGCCAAATGGATTCGATAATAGTACACATTGTGTCAATGAAATATTGCATGTAAAGCACCTAGCATAGTGCCTTGGCTTATATTAAGCACTCAATAAATATTAGCTATTATTCCAGATCTGTTTATTTCCTGTGCAGCAACACATTACCTTCCTCCATTGGGCAGCCCTTGAAATATTTTAAGAACATCTGTTGAGTTTTTACTCAGCCTTCTCTTGCCAGTTTTCTTTTTCTCAGCTACCTCACTGGTTTGTCAATGGCTCACTTTAAAAATTACTTTTAGGTTAGTTCAGTTGTTTAGAGCATGGTGCTGATAATGCCAAGGTCCAGGGTTGAATCCCTGTACTAGCTGGCCAGCCAGCAAAAAATAAAAAATATAAATAAATAAAAATTATATTTAGAAGAACACACAACACTTAGGAGTAGTTCCACTTAGGCATGTTAGATTGCTATGTTTACAAGCCATGATTAAAGTTCTACTACCTTCATGGAGCTCTTAGAAAGGTGCCTAGAACATAACAGGCTCTTAATAATTATGAATGTCTTTTTTTTTTTTTTTTCAAAAGATGACCGGTAAGGGGATCTTAACCCTTGACTTGGTGTTGTCAGCACCATGCTCAGCCAGTGAGCAAACCGGCCATCCCTATGTGGGATCCGAACCCGGGGCCTTGGTGTTATCAGCACCGCACTCTACCGAGTGAGCCACGGGCCGGCCCATCAATCACAGAATTATCCCTGCTTCCTTTGACAGCACCCAATTCAGAGGAGCACCAACTTCCTTGAACCTTCTCCCAAATAACTTAACCAAAGTCTAAGTCCTTTAAGTCCTTTCTATCACCCTCTTGCTGAGACACAATGGTGTCCCAATGGTGTGCTCTCTCCCTCACTGCAATAAGCATTAAACCCAGCTTGTTCAACTACAGGTGTATTCCTGGTGGTCTTTAGCTGGAATACATTAATACAAGACATATGACGTCTACAGTTTCCCAGATCTACCTCTTTGGAGATACTCAGCAAGAAGGAAATAAAATTAGTCAAGATTTGACTATGATCACATTCATCTCTAAATGCTCATAAAACGGGCCGGCCTGTGGCTCACTTGGGAGAGTGTGGTGCTGATAACACCAAGGCCACGGGTTCAGATCCCATATAGGGATGGCCGGTTTGCTCACTGGGTGAGCGAGGTGCTGACAACACCAAGTCAAGGGTTAAGATCCCCTTACCAGTCATCTTAAAAAAATAAATAAATAAATAAAAACTAAATAAATGCTCATAAAACCATCTCTTTTAATAATCCAGAATTGTTCCAGAAAACCAACAATAAGCTTATCAATGTGTTGTTTTTAAAATCCATAAACAATATTTGCCTACTTTTAGTCTTTAGGCCCCGACCCCCTTTTTTTTTAATAACTGGCTTTGACCTAGCCCACCATCTCCAACTCCAGGTGTAACCTGAGTGACCAACCAGACAAGAGAGCAAGAGGTAGCATGAAATATGATGGCAGAGGCACAGAATCACCTTCTCTATCCCCAAATCCATTGTCTCATTAGTCTGGACACCTGAGTTGTTTCCCCTACATCAAGCATGAGCTGACGAGGAAATGAGGTTTGGTTTTTGGGTCTGCTGGCCTTACTAACCTTTATGTGGACTTAAAAACCTCTGGCCCTGTGTGGAGACAGAGGGAACAAAGGGATGAACCCTGAGGCTTGTGTCCCGAGAAGAATTTCCTTTTCCCAGAACCTCCCTAGCCTTGAAGGCTTAAGGCATTGGCCACTTAGGAAGGGATGGAGTAGGAGGACATTAATCACCATCAACAGCTCAGAGAGGCAACTGCTATCTGCCTTGTTCTGTTTGAATAAGGGAAGGATCTGTCAACTATATAACATCCCATCCCCATTTCTCAGCACATACACCCTCCTTAGTACCTGCCCCCACTAAATGACCCTAGTACTAGGATCACTTGTAGGGGCAGGTACTAGGAGGGTGTATGTGCTGAGAAATGGGGAGCCCTGGTTACTAAGACAACCTGGGAATAGCATATACAGATAGAGACCAAAACCAGATGGGACTATTTCTAAACTAGACTAGGTGGCTCCAATGCTTTTACCACACAAAGTGTCTTCCCCACAGCCCCATTTGGTCTTGTTTTGGGTCCCTACCCTTCTTCACTGACCTTCGTCCAACTTACCCAAGCTATGTGAGGGTGGGGTCTTTATCCCATTCTGGCATGAGATCTACTTACTGCTCCCATCTTCCAGACAGAATATCTAAGCAAGTTTCCACTGCCTCCATTTGTTAAAAATAATTGTTCTTTTATTTCTTTGGAAAGTAGTGGGCCCTGCCTTATGGATTTCCAGACCAAGCTAGGGTAATGAATACTCCCCTAGTCTTTGGGCTGCAGTACTATGGTCCCAACCTTCACAGGGGCCCACGAGCAGTTCCTGTATTGTTCAACCCAACTGGGCCCCAAACTGCCTGAAGGCTCTTATCAGGCCTTCTTGCTCGGCCACCCATTTCCCAATCTTTCCTGGCTTCCCTTCTGGTGAGGGTATTTTTTTCTTCCAAAACCAGTGCTGGAAACTGTGCTGTGCAGAAGAGAGGACAAGACCAGTGATGCCCCCAACTTCCCATAAGTAGACACAGCCCCTCAGTCAGTCCTTCCTCTCTGCTGACTTCAGTCTGCACTCCTATGCAAGCCTCCACTGTGAGACTTGCAGGAAGATGGACAAGAGGACCCTGATAAAAGGGAGGTGAGAGAAAACATACCAGCCCAACCTCTCCTCAGAACATGCTCCTCAGCATACTCCTTGTAGTCTCTTGTCCTAGTTCTTGAGTGAGCCCTTCAAAGAGGGCCTGGGAGAGCTAGGCAAGTGGGTAAGGGCCCCTCGACCCCAGCCCCAGGAGGCTATACCAGGGGAGTGTCCATTAGTCCCATCAGTGTGGCATGGCTGTGATGCGCATGCTCTGGGAAGCAATGGGGTAAGTCACCATGGGAGTGGTGGTGTGGCTCATTGTGATTCCTGCCAAGGGTTGGGCCATTGATACAGCCACAGGGGCCACAGGAGCCACAGATACAGCCACAGGAGCCATGGAGACAGGTGGGGGTGCCATTCCCTGGGCAATTGTTTGAGCCAGAGCAGCTGACAGTGGTGTGATCTCTGGGTTCAAGTGTGGGGGTGGGGGTGGTGGAGCAGCAGGAGGTGCAGCATTGGTTGGGGGAGCAGCTGGAGCTCCAGCAGGGGCCACCAGTTCTTGCTGGGACACAGGACGAGGCTGTAGAGCCTGGCTGCTGAGAGTAGTGTGAGTCTGGGCAATTCCATGGTTAAAAGTGGCAACAGTGCCCACGGTGGGGGCCAGAGTCTGCTCAGTCGCTGGTGCAGTTGAGCTCAACGTCATGACCTTGGCCTGATTGCGGAACTGGGCATTTTGTTCCAGCAGTACCTCATTGGTGGCCAGCAGGTTGCTGACCTGCTTCTTTAGTTCCTCCACCCGCTTCCTGAGCATGGCATTCTCCTCCTCTAGCACTCTGCATTCTACCCCTCGGGGTGGAGCCAGGCTATATTCATATGATTCAAAATGGGGGCCATCAGGGGGGCAGCATCCACCTCGCCGGCGCTTTGGGCCTGGCTCATGGTCCTCAAAGCCCCTGTCAGGAAGATCGTAAATATCATAGAGATCATGACGTCGTCCTGGGGGGACTGAACCTGTGGAGCCCCCACAACCAGTGCCTCCTCCACCCCGAGTATCAAACTCAAAATCCCGATGGAGGTGACGGAACTTGCACTTGGCTCCTCTCTGACAGTCACCCTTGAGAAAGTCACGGCAGATAGGGACTTCCTCTTTGCCATTTGGTAAGTCAGCAGGTGAAAGGCCCAGGCCAGCAGCCACTTTCTGCCTCAGCCGAGGGGGAAGCTCTCCTGTCTTCTTATAGCCATCCTCATCCTCCTTGGAGCCATGGATGAAACGGCAGTTTGGGCGGCTACACTCCTTGTTCTGGAAATCATGGCAAAAGATGAACTCATTTTTGCTCACCCCCAAGTTGGACACCTCACTCATGTCTGGGTGACGATATCGACAACGCTTGCCTCGCTTGCACACATTCCTCAGGAAATCTCTACAGATGGCATCTGAGCTGGCCCCGCCACTGCCTGCCCCCACCCCACTGGCCTCCTCGCTGCTACTGCCTCCAGGGCCTCCACCGCTGCTTGCAGTGCTGTTGGCATAGCTGTCCCGGTCAGGCATCCTGGTGCCCCCCAACTCAGGGCTTTCTTCCTTTTCTTGCCACTCTTGGTGACCACTAAAAAAGAGGAGAATTGTGTCAAACAGGAGTCCTCCAGAGAGACCCCGTTCTTCCTAACTATAAAGCAGGCAGCCCAGCAGGACAATGGCTTAGAGATGGTGAATCTAAGGGATGAGAATTCTGGCTTAACTGGCTGACTCATCAGAAGTCCTACCCAGGCTCTTGTGCACCTGGTCCGGGTCAGAATGATTCATACTTGCCTGGCTAACGGAGGAAGGAGGGAGTTGAGGTGAAGTTACTTCATCTTACTAATGATAATAAGCCAAGGAGGGGGCAGGGAGAGAACAGTGTTGGATTTTATCTTCCCTTCTGAGTTGACCTTATTAAAGCTGTGGAAGTTAAATTAAAACTGCTTTTAGTATCTAAATAGGCTGGGAAAAGACAGGGAATAGGGCCTAAGATGGGCTGCTTAACTACTAGATCTATGGATGTTGTGACATTTGTAACAAAACTTTCCTTAATCCCTCTACCACGAGATTTCAGGCGAAGGCTCCTGTAATTATCAGATCTCTAGAACCCAAGAAATCTTGAGTGAAGAGACCAGCTTGAGGGCAGTCCCTAAACCTGTCATTTTTCAGTATTCCCTCTCAGCCCACCACCACTCTCAACTCCAGGGAAAACAGCCCCCTGCATTTCAGGGAAATCTCCACTTTTAGACCTCCCAGGACAAAATCATTTGTGGCAAGGTCAAGGTGGGAAAAAGTTAATTTCACAGGAAGAAGTGACCCTTTTCCCCCATCCTCCACCACCCTCCTAACCACCCCCCCCATGAGAAGATCCCACTGACATCAAACCACACCATTCCTCACCCCATAAAAATCCTCTTTATTTATAGACTCCATAAAAGCTTTTTAAGTCTCCTATTTCCCAAGAGAGCTCTGGAATGCCAGTCCACTGCCCTGGTTTTAGCCCTCCCCTCTCCACCCCCAAATAGACTGAGAGTCCCTGCTACCACGTGTTGGACCTTCTAAGCCTTTCCCAGGCAGTGTTCAGGCTCCCCCTGCTGTTCAAATAGAAAAACTTCATATTGTTTCCTCTTCAGCATAGAGCATAAAGGAAAGTTTCCTGATTTCCTTGGCCTTGACCTACCCCCTATCCCAGCCCACTGCCTTAAGTTTGCTTTCAGATCTCCCTAAAATGAACGGACCAGACCAGAGGCCAAAGTTACACCAGAATCTGTAAATGAAGAGGGGTCTTCTTCCTCCAAAGGGAGGTAGCCTCAGAATAATGGAAACAATCAAGGAAAGAAGTGATAAAAGAGAAGATACAAACTTTTACTAGAAAAAGAAATAACCAGGTGAAGAATAAATGCCATCTATCCAAGTCTGACCCACTTGCAAGTCCCACCAGAATCAGATAAGTAGATGACACTCTTTCCCACCCAACTCTCCCAGAATCGATACCTGAGGTATCTCAGGTGAAGTCCGGGGCTCCTGTGGGTCTCCACCTCCACATCACTGCTGGGTTCTGAACAGGAAAAAACAGAGACTTGGGCAGGAGAAGGAGGACTACGGGATGGGTGTCACAAGAACGAAGTCTGCTGATAAAAGGGCAAGAGCTCTGGGAACTTAAGGATTTCCTTAGGGTTCAAACTGAACTTCCCCACCTGTCAGAGGGAGAAGTTGCCAGTAAGAAAAGTAAGGGATAGAACTAATTTGGAGGAGAGGGGAGAATGGGTTGCAAAACCAGCCCTGAATGAACAAAGGGTGAGGGGCACCCAGCCTCAAGATGAAGGAGGGTATGGGGATCAGAGCCCGGCCTAGGGCTGGAGTTAGGAACGCCGAATCAGGAGCTGTACAAGGGCAGCGACTGACAGTGCAGTGGGATGGCAGATTAGACTTGGGGCGGCGATTATGACGCTTCCCAACACCCTAGAGTTTGCAGGAAAAAGTCCTAGGAGTTTCCCCGCAGCAAGTCTTCTAGCTTAGCAGGTTCCGTGTAGTGCCGCCGGCGCTTACTGTAATTAATTAGTGAATTAAGGGAGCACGAAGTGAAGCGGGGTGAGGGGCTTCCAGGTGACATCAAGCTGAGGGGATGGGCAGGGCTGTGACGTCATGGAACTGGCGTTTGCTCGCGAAACGGGGTCAGTCAGAAAAGGGCCTCTGCCCTGGGGTGTGAGGAAGAACCAGCTCAGTCCTGGGGGGGCCTTGTATGGCCCGCCCAAGCCCAGCCGCTGGGCCGGCCCCGACTCCTCCCCTCCGGGCGCGGCCTCCACCTAAGTCTCCCGCCTCCCTCACCTGCCGCCGCCGCCGTAGTTGCTGCTGCCGCCTGCCGGTCCTCTGGCTTCGACAAAGAGCCGCCCACCCTCTCTTCCGCTTCCTGCGGAAGAAGCGACGCTCTAGCCACCAGACCCGGAACTATAATCTATGGTGTGCAAAGAGCTTGTGCGACAAGCCGCAGAAAGCTCCCAGCAAGCTTTGCGTGTTACCATGGCAACCCGACCAGAAAAACATCGCCGAACCCAGAAAACTGAACTTGGAAAGGTTAAACTAAGCAAATATAGGGTCGGATCGAGTATTTACCCCAAACTTGCCCGCTGACTTCGAAACCTGCCCCCAGGCATATACTACACCCTTTCTAGTACCAGCCAGATGTTGACCACACCACATTTCCGGGCTGTTGCCTCAGTAGCTTTGACATCCTTCAACAGCACGGGTAGTAATAGGGCACACTACTGTACTGATGATACAGAATCGCCACCCAATGGAACCATAAACAGACAAGACAATTTTTTGATTCTTCAGCTAACACAGCAGAAGAGATGATTTATTGTACACGTTACACTCGGCCACAAATGAGAACAGAACTAGTCCAGAACGTCACAGGTCCAGGGCAACGGACCAAGAGGGACTGTTTTAAAATGAGCAAGGTGGATCTCTCAGAGGTGGTCTCGATGCTCGGATGGCGATGGACATCCTAGATCCACTGTGAGAGAAGTTCTAGACAGTAGCATGCAGTCCAACAACTTGTACCAGCGTTCCCGGCCTCCAGCTTTCCACATTTCTGCTCCTGTGGCCTCCGTGGGTGCACAAACTAGCCGTTTACTTGGATCTCTGCCTCATCTTTCTTCTTTTGCGCTTCAGCCTGAAAGTATACATAGGAATGCCCACGAACAAGAGTTCAGTTTTTCTCTCCCACCTTAAATCTAAAGTGCAAAGAATACATGCGGTGGCAAATTGAATAAGCACTGCCGTTCTATTGTCCTGTGGTTCAATCCCTGGTTTCTGGCAAAGGAATGCTCTTAACCTTTTTCTCCTAAAGTTCTTTTAGATTTCCAAACCAAACGTTCCCCCCAAGTTTTGTCTCAGGAGCACCCCACTTCCCTCCTCCTGGTCTGGCAAAGCCTCAGCGTACCTGCGCATTCGCTTCTTCCTCCACTAGGCAAGCAATCGTAAGAGGCAGAGAAAAAAACAGATTAGCCTTATTAACAGGTTTAAATAGGGATATAAATGAACTGTTTAGAACCGGACACTTCGTTCACCAAGTTGAGTTCCTGGTCGCAGAAATCACATTAATAATTTGGACATCCTCGTCCGACGTAAAACCCTAATTCCGAGTGCTTTTTCTACCCCTCCCACCTTCTTCTCCCACTTCACCGCTACTACCTCTGCTTCTCCCCAAACTATCATTCCTCTCCCACAGGCTCTTGGGCACCCTTGAGAACCCAGCAGTAAGTTAACCATGGCGGACTTCGCTTGCCTGGGTCTCCTCCTACTCGACAACTTCTGCCTCCCAAGCTTACTGCTAGGGAACCCTTACCTTGGCTCTCATGGCGCAGAGGTTTCTACGGGCAAAGAGAAAAAAGTTACAGTTAGTTTGCGGTGATGATGGTAAATGCAGAGGTCAGATGTTAATGGATTGTACGCCGAATCCGAACACAAGCAGCGACAACTCACCTAAGAAGATGGCGCTAAGACTGAGAGAGAGCCAAACTTCCGCCTATTGCTATTTAACGGCGCGCACAGTGTCGTCACTTCCGCTGTTCCGCCCTTTCCCCAGGGGCGGGGCACCCAATGAGTAACAATAGATTCAGCCGTTGAGAGGTTGTTAGGAATTCTCTTTGAAAACGGAGTATTCTGAATTCGAGTTATTAATCCCCCCCCCCAGTTTTATTATGATGACATTGTACTCTTTCAACTTGAGCACCTATTTCCAATATGGGACTAAGAGGTGCAGACGAGAAACGACAATGTCTTCCGCCTTTTCTCTCATTGCTTCTTGGTAGTTGCGGTTTTGCAACGAAGTCATCCATTTTACTATGGATATGTGGGGACTGTACAAGATTTTGTTTTACTGGTTTGCCTTATATTCTAAACTAAATTGCTGCGGGGAGATTCCATGTCGGAACTTCAGCAGATCCTAAGATTCCGGAACAAAGAAAGATGTAAAGTCGGGCGTCGGCAAAGCTGTCAAACTATAGAGTCCTCTGTCAGTGTTTAAAGTAGATTATCTTTTTCTAAAACTCCGAGAGAGAACGAAGTAGCTAACTATGGTCTTTCCTGACAGTGCCAGAGGCAGAATGTCACTAGAGATTTCCTGCTGCAACGCGTCATTTTTTCGGGAAATACTTCAGTGATTTCTCTAACTAGGATGAAGATCAAACCAAGGGACAGGGTTAGCAAGATTAGCTAAATCTTCTCTAGGGAAAGTATGACATTTGGTGTGAAGATAAGGAACTTCCCAGTCTCATGGTGCTAAGACTAAACATTTCATACAAATATAGTAATACTTTACGTTTGACTCTTGAAAAGCAGGTTTTTAAAATTTAGGTTCCTGTTCCGAATGTTTCACTATCAGAATATAACAAGTTTCTTTAAAAAAAAAAATAAGCCTTGGGCCGGCCCGTGGCTCACTCGGGAGAGTGCGGTGCTGATAACACCAAGGCCCCGGGTTCGGATCCCACATAGGGATGGCCGGTTCACTCACTGGGTGAGCGTGGTGCTGACAACACCAAGTCAAGGGTTAAGATCCCCTTACCGGTCATCTTTTTAAAAAATAAATAAATAAAATAAGCCTAGCAGAATTATATCAAGTCCGTCAGGATTGCCAACTAGTCAATAAGCTCTGAGAGAAATCGTAGTTTTGTTTTTTTTAAATAAACTTTAGGGCCGGCCCGTGGCTCACTCGGGCGAGTGTGGTGCTGACAACACCAAGTCAAGGGTTAAGATCCCCTTACCGGTCATCTTTTGAAAAAAAAACAATAAATAAATTTTATTTTTTAGAGTTTTAGGTTCACAGCAAAATTGAGAGGAAGGTATAGACTCTCCACATATGCACTGCCCCCACATACGACTAGCCTCCCCCATTATCAACATCTCCTACCCAAGTGGTTCACTTGTTACAATTGATGAACCTACACTGAGACATCATTATCACCCTAAGTCCACAGTTCACACTAGGGTTCACTGTTGGTGTCGTACATTCATATCCTTTGTTCAGTTTTATTCACCATAGTATCTCCAGGTAAGCAGTGCCTCACATGTAGTAAAATAAATCTAATTAACAAATTACTCACCCAACCTTATTCTGGCCCTAAAAACTAACATACCACCAGACATTCTTCCTGGCTTCCCGAATCAAGAAAAACACTTGTTATAGTGTTGTCTTTTGTAGCACATTAAGTGTTCTGAACAAATGTCAGCAGTGAGGGATGTTTCTGCTTTAGAAAATTAAATTACAGGCTGGCCCGTGGCTCACTCGGTAGAGTGCGGTGCTGATACCACCAAGGCCACGGGTTCGGATCCTATATAGGGATGGCCGGTTGGCTCACTGGCTGAGTGTGGTGCTGACAACACCAAGCCAAGGGGTGAGATCCCCTTACCGGTCATCTTCTAAAAAGAAAAAAAGAAAAAGAAAATTAAATTACCAAACTCCCATAAAAATTACTGTATCTTCAGAGAAACCAGAAATTTGTGTTTTTCCCAACTCAAGATATTCCTTGCTTTAGGGAAGGTAGAGTATGGCATTATAGAAAAACAGCTCCGATGGATCACCACTTCCTCAACTGAGTGTCCCCACCTCCATCAAATAAGAGCAGCATACATGGGCCAGCCCTGTGGCTCACTCGGGAGAGTGCTGCGCTGGTAGTGATATAGGGATGGCCGTGCGCTCGCTGGCTGAGCGTGGTGCGGACCACACCCTGCTGAGGGTTGCGATCCCCTTACCAAAAAAAAAAAAAAAGAGAGAGAGAGAGAGCAGCACACAAAGGCACATCAGTATGAGCAAATCGAAATTTATTTTAACGCCATGTCGTTTTCAACGTGTTTAAAAACCTCATAAGTTAGTGGATGCCCGAGTTCCCTGGGACAGCATGCCGGAGGTACTGAAATTTGTCACCTTTCTCTACAAACCCCCAGCAATTCATCCAATCCAGTCCACAGCTTCAGAAAGCCAGTAGTTGTGTCTTCAGTTCTACTCCTCTGGTTCCTGGGTTTTCTTTCAAGGGAGGGAGGTCAGAGTATTTCAAATGGGGAACAAAACCATGGTTGAGCTTCCGGCTCAGGTTTGTGTAAGATGGGAGTGAGGGAAGACCAGACTGATTCCAGAGAAAAGGACAAGGTTGAGATGGATTACTTCTTTACAGCTTTGTGAAAATGGGAAGAAAAAAAGGCCCTGCAGAACAAAAATGACTAAAAAGTTTCACAAATGAGCATCCACTTGATAGATGAGAATCTCTTCATAAATGGAGGCTCCAGCTCCAAAAAATGGGAGGGGCCTGACTAGACAGCCTGTGTCAGTGAGGAATCTGCCACATGTGAATAAAAACAATCTGAAGAACAGCTCCTTTTAATTTTGAGGCCAGACAAAATACTTGGGGAGAGTGGGAGAGAGGAAAAAGCCCCATATAGATGGGAAAAGCTGACATCAGACTGGTATAAAAAAATTTCAGCTGAGTTTTCAGTGGCAATGGCTAATTTAGCCTCTTCTCGGTTCTGTTGTAGGGCCACATACCTTGACCAAGCAGAGTAGTAGAAAAGGCTAGAAAGAGGGGCTTGAAGACGATGGATTTTGACTCTTGATTTTATTATTCAATTTCTTTTTTTCTATTTAAAGTAGTCTTCGGTGGCTGGGAAGACTGGCATCCCAAGACCAGAGTCAGTTGGAGCTGGTTTTTGTTGGAAGGGGGTGGGCTGGGGGACTGGACTGGGGGCAGGGAGACCCTGCTCTGCAGGCGGTCCTGGGTGGAGAAGACGAACTGCACTTCACAGAGCCCGGGGTATGGTGGGAAGGGGATGAGGCAGGAGCGGCAAGCTGGGGAGATAGGACCCACCTCAGTCCCCAGCTTCATTTTCTTCTAATGTTTCCCCACTGGTGGCATTCTCTGCAGTCTTGGAAGCCTATATTCAAGAAAAGGAAGGGAGAAGACTTGTCAGTTCCTAATTACTAGGAGGTAGTGTCTGGGGGGCCAAAGACAAAAATATCCTAATCCTCTGGGTCAGGGATGAGAAGGGTGAAATAATGCATGAAATGCATAATGAAATCTAAACACCACTACCCAGGAAGGTGGAATAAAGAAGGATCAGGTTCACCCTGCCAGAGAGGAATGATCACAACGCACCTTCTTTTTTTTCTTTTTCTGAGTTTTCCGACTTGCAGAACTCTGGAGGAGGGCCTGGAATACAGGAGGAAGGCAGCAACATATTTTGAGGAATGTGGAAGAAATACGAACACAAAGCATTACTCTCAGTACTGTAGCTCTTTGCAGGACTTTAGCCCTTATTCCAGGACAGGTGCCACACACTCACACTTCCCATCCCACACTAACCTTTAACTCTGCATCCTGGACCTCCATCTCAGACTTGTAGAGGTCAGGCTCAAAGGGACCACTGGTTATCCTCATGGGGCCATTGGGCATGAGCAGAACTGTAAATTTAAACTGAGCAACAAATTCACCTATGGGAAAAATGAAGATGTGTTTTGATAAAATGTTACTTTGTCATACTTAGCTCTTTCCTGTAAGTTACAGGGAGAAGATGGGTTACAATATAATCAGGGCTCCAAAGTGAAACTGTCTTCTTAGAACTCACCCTCCTTCTCATAGAGAACATTAAATGGTTGCAGCAGTTCATGTTTGGCACATTCTACCACACCCATTCGGGCCTTCTTCTCATCTTCAAACGCTCTGGGTAGGGGAAGACGGGATTCAGAGGTATCCTTAGCTCCCCATCAAGTCTTACCATTTTGCTCATGTTTTAAAAATAACTCCTAACCTCAGGCAGAAATCATGCTTAGATTGCCCTTTTACATTACCTTCAATGAGAAGGAGATGGGGAGAGAGCACTTGCTGAGCTACAAGTCTAGGCAGGAGGGGAGAGGGAGGGAGGGATGCGGGAGGGAAAAGTGTGGCTGGGTGCATGGTCTGTGAGTCAGACTGCTTCTAAGTCCTGTCCTTGCTAAGTGCAGTACCTTAAAGTAAATGGCATGGCATCAAAACGCCTTTCCACCTCACTGAAGAAGGCACGTGAAGTTTTCATTTTCAGGCCGTACTGTTTAGAGGGGTCTCGTTTGTAAATGGTGGTTCTCTGTCCTGCATCCTTGGCCTAAAAAGAGTAAGTTATGTCACATTTGGTCTGGTGAACACACCCTCAGTCACCCTTCTTTGCTAACTGGTACTCTCCTCACCTTGCCCTCTCCTGAGCTGACGAGAACGTCCACGGCATATACTTCATGTACCTCAAATTCAGCTTTTTCATGGTCCTTCCTAAAAGGAATAGAGAGAAAGGGAGACATTAAAAGTAATAAGTAGCTCCTGAGAGTTTGCAGGTGGGCAAGATTAAGTTTGGAAGCATGGAAAAAGAGTTGATGACTAGTTTGGAATGGTAAAAGGTTGGCACCTACTTCTGTTGGTCTGTGGGATTCTGGATAATTGTTTTCTCTCCATCAATGACATGCTGTTTCAATTGGTGTGACAGCATACCTGTAGACAGGACAAGATTTATGGTACCAGCTAGCTGGAATCCAAAAAGCTTTACAAGGGGCTGGCCCCTGGCTCACTTGGGAGAGTGTGGTGCTGATAATACAAAGGCCATGGGTTCAGATCTCTATATCGGGATGGCCAGTTAGCTCACTTGGGAGAGCGTGGTGCTGACAACACCAAGTCAAGGGTTAAGATCCCCTTACTGGTTATCTTTTTTTTTTTTTTAAGAAAAATAATCTAACAAAAAAACAACCCAAAAGGTTTCCGAATCCACCCACCTAAGTAGTTTGATGGGGCAGGCAATGAGAAAAAGTGCCTGGCTATGGAAAAAAGGGCACTGAGCTTTCTGGCTTAGACTGTTTTAGACCCAAGATGGATCTTCAAGACAGCAAAAGCCTTAATTCTGCTAAACCACTCATTCTTACATCTTCAGCCCCATTACCTAAGGTCTCACCTTCTATTGGCGTGCAGTTAAATGAGTGGGCAACTTTGTTCCAGGCTTCTGTCACTTGTGTGTTCTAGAAGTACAAGATCAAATAAGAGGTGAGATGTCAGGGGCTCATAAGTACTCTACCATGAGAATAAGAAGCACAGAAAGACCAAGACTTCCAATATCCTCCACCAAATGCCAATGATTTTCATTCACTAATTTTTCATTTCATAGCCCTATCATCTCTACAACCTAAAAATACCTTATATTTGCACATCATTTTACAAAGCACTTTCATAAAGATGGTCTACTTAGACAACAATTCTCAAAGGTCAATAGGGCAGATCAATATCCCAATCTAGAAAACATGGAAACTGAAACTCAGCAAGGTTAAATGATTTGTCCAAGGTGAAACAAGTATCAAGTGGAAGAACCTAGTCATAAACCCAGGTTTTCTGATGTTAAGTCCAGTGTTTATTCCTTTATACCTGGCATTCTAACCTGTTTTTTTTTTTTCCTTTTTGTCTTTTTTTGTGACCGGTAACGGGATCGCAACCCTCGGTGTCGCGCCCGCACCGTGCTCAACCAGTGAGCGAACTGGTCTCTATATGGGATCCGAACCCTCGCCGGGTGCGCTGCCACGCTCCCAAGCGCCACACTCTACCGAGTGCGCCACCGGGCCGGCCCCTATCCTGTTTGTTTTTTTAACCTCTTTCAAACATGATCTGATCCTCACCCAAGTTACAATTCTTAGACAAAAAAAAAGTGAATAACTAATCATAACTAATATTCACTGAATATTTATTTATGTGCCAGGTACTGTGACAAGCACTTCACATGGATTTATCTCAATTCTCACAACATCCTGTGAGAATAAGCCACAAATATTTTCCCCATTTTACAGATGAGGTATAGGATATGGACCCAATCTATTTTCGTAGCTATACACTAATCAATATATAATACTACCTTCCTGTGAAGTTACACAATAATGAATATATAAATAACAAAAATAATAAATGTGTAAAATATTAACAGCTAATTCATGTGCACTGTTCAAAGGGCTAGATAACAACTCTATGATGTTAGGTATCATTATAAGGAAACTAAGAGGTTTAAGTAAAAATAATGCAACAAAGTAATAATGGGAATGAAGCACGAATTGATTAAAAGTGTGAGGAACAAGAGCACAAAAAGGAAAAAAAGGGCCGGCCCGGTGGCGCACTGGATAGTGCGCCGCTTGGGAAGCGCGGTGGCGCTCCCGCCCGAGGGTTCGGATCCCACATGCAGACCGGTTCCAAAAGAAAAAAAAAAAAAAAAAAAAAAAAAAGGAAAAAAAAAGTCTATGCTTAAAATACTGAATGGGTCTCTGGAAATTCAGGTGTTAGAAATGTCTCCACTGACAATCTAACATGTTTAATTCTATAAATTCACGAGAACTTTATAATCCCTGGACTTCCTCATACTGTCTTGCAAAGTACAGTAGTAACTTTTGGCCTCTCTTTGGCACCAGTTTTTTGGTACTATTATCTCTCTCTCCTACCCTTTTATGATTTTTGTTCTATAAGCTTTTAAAACTAATTGAGTTTTTATATCTATGCTTAATTGTAAGCTACTGACCTCAAATTATTTGAGGAAAGATGAACTTACAAAACATTAAAAAAGAACTGTATAGGCTCCATGAGGAAGGGACCTATACAAGGGTACTTCCAGAAGTTCATGGAAAGATTTGTATTATCTTTTAATTCTATTTTTCCATGAACTTTTTGAAGTACCTGCATATATCCATACCCCCAGCATGGAACTGTCTACAGTAGGCACTCAGAGTTAACTGCTGTTTAGCATTAAGCTCTTTAGTTACTGCTGCTGCTTCTTTTTTTTAAAAGAAATCCCACCCTAAGAGGTAGCTAATTTTAAAAAGCTGTTTGTTTTATAAGAGGACTATGGGGGAAGTTGATAGTTCCATACAGAGTAGCTATATACATTTGCATCTTTGGTTTTATCAAGCTTTGGAGCTGAATAAAATAGCTTACCTGGTTTCCAGGTTTGACAAGGCGTAGGGCAGCTTCAGCACAAAGGTGAGCAGCCTTAATGACATCTGCTTTCCGCCCTGTTACTTGGGTCCCCTATGGATAAGGAAATGCAATTAGTGTTTCTTGGAAAGCTCACTAACTCAGCTAGCCATTTGGTTAATATCTGTGTGCCTATATGCATGGTCAGTCAACAAGTAGGAGAGAAAAAAACCTTTCTCCTTTTGCTTCTCTAGAGACTCCCTCAAAACTTCTGTGGTGGTAGGGGAAATGGCAATGCATCCCAACCACCCAAGGTTGAACAGAGTTGAGAAGCAGGCCACTGACCTGAGCTACATCAACCACAAAGGTGTGAGCCACATTAGCAATGAAGCCATCCACGTGGACCCCAAGGTCACTGAAAGGCAAGAGCAGAGTACTGCATTAGGAATTGGCACTATGTAAATGCTCAGAAAAATGACAAATGCTGTAAAATGGTTTAACCTTACATTTTTACCAAGTCACCTTCCTTGAGTATATAGTCCTGGTCACTCTTCAAAGGGGAAAAGTGACACACACAGTTATTTACTGAAATGCTGGTAGGAAAAGCAATACCTGTAAAGACAGAATCAACAGCCTTACTGCCTTGCTCTCTATCACGGGAGCCCTGTTGCCCTTCAGGAAAATGGAAGGTTTTTTTCAGGGTCTTGCTCAAGTTTAATCCATTTGGATAGGGTAGGAAACTGCTTGTATCCCACTTGCCATTCCAATTCTCTAAATATCTCAATATTATAATGAAAAATCAAAAACATATAGAACCAAACAAGGGTCAAACTTGGGAAGTTAGTGAGAATTTTTTTTTTTTTTTTTTTTTACCTTTCTTCATTTCCTTCTCTTTCTTGAAGATTTTCCCTGTCTCTTCCATAATCATGGCATCACCTTTCTCACACAGGCTCAGTACCGACACACCTGAGCTGGATGCCTCCACCAAAGACCGAAGTACACCTGGAGACAGAATCCCACCATGTCAGCCTTGCATGTATTTATTGTCTAGTTACCACCCAAGTAATACCTGGAAGTTGGATTCAAGGTTTCTAACATTCCCTAGTGCCATTGCCCTGAGGCTGAAAGAGGGAACAAGTTTTGCCTGTTGGAATGTATCTACCCATAATCTTTAATTTCTACCTTCCTTCCCTAAAATAAAAAGGTCAACACTTCCTTCTCTGCTTTAAATTATGTGAAAACTGGGAATATACGATTTGTCTTCCTAGGCAAGGCCTTGGACCTTCCAAAGATGATAACTTTGGTGTGATAATTATAAATTTCAGGGGCTCTCACCAAGGTAACCCACCTATATACAAAGCAGACTAGAAGAAATTTATAGGCGTCACAGACAACAGGAAGGTGGATGTAGAATTGCTGACTCAAAAGTGATGCACTGTTAAATGTTACCTACTCTTCTCAGACACTTTAATTAGGTGTTAGTAAACTCAATTAATGTAGACTTATTTCTTCATAAACAAGTATATAAGCCAAGAGGACTTAACCTAAGATTCCTGGGCTTCAGGGGGCTTGTGGCTTATAGCTTTCATTAGATCTCAAAGAGGTATGTGACCCCTAAGTTTCAAAACTGGTATCTAAGATCACAAATGCCTCAAGTTATACACTGCAAGAAAGAGAAAAAAATATTTTCTTCTGACTCAACCACTAGTATAAAATACTAAAAAGCACCAAAAACGGGGTTACTATACTAAATGCCCATTGTGTTATAAATTATCAGTTTGTTCATGCTCTCTCCATGATCCATCCTGAACTTCAGATTTGATTTTTGAGATCTCAGTTTTGGTGATTCTCTGGAAGCTGTTAAAACAGGTTTTCAGCCACAGGACCAAAGGCATCCTAAATACCACCTCCCAGCTATCTTTACTGCCAAAACCATTTAAAAGCTGAGGGACAAGCAGTTCCCATCTCCTCAACTGGGTTTTTTAATAGACAGGTGAATTGGAAAGAGAAAATAGAAAGTGAGACATCTGCTTAGAGCGGCAGGGAATTGATGAGAAAGAGCACACAGATCGAATAAGGATGACTTGTAACAATCCTAACATCAGTCCTCCCGTTTCCAGTGCGGTTCATAAGCTTGCTTAGTTGAGTGAGAGGAGGACCTCAAAACACTCCTACAGTTGTCAAGTCTCTGAGAACAAATTTGAAGACCGAGGCCATCTGCACAGATTGGAGGGGTGGTAGTAACGAATAACTTCCAGGAAAGCCAGATATATCTCCAAGAGTTGTGTCAGAAGCTTAAGGAGTGCCCTCCAACAGTCCCCTGAGCTGTCCCACGGGTAGAAGGGGGCCCCCACCAGGGTAAGAGTTGAAGAAAAGAAGGAAAGATTCCAGCAAGGCACGTGGCGGGGAAGCTAGTGTTGGGGACAGTAGCGTAGAAAGAAGGGAGACAGCAATCCGCACGGGGACCCAGCAACACGTGCCGGCTCGGCTCCTGACGCCCGGGAGCCGTGACAAAACAGAGGGGCGCTTCCGTCACCAACAGCTGGGCGCTTCCTTTTCGAGGTGGCCTCGTCGCTGCCAGAATCAGAGGAAGCAGAGATCCGAACTGAAGGGTGAGGGGCAGAAGACGCGCCTCGCCTCCTTACCAGCGGCCCAGGGTCGGAGCCTGCCGGGGTCCCCTCCCTGCGCTTTCTGGTCGCCGGCCCGCACCTCCACATACTCCAGCGCAGGCCTTGGCGGCTCAGGTCCCAGACGCGACACCGGGTCTTCCCACCACGCCGCCCCCAGCGTACCGGTGAGGGCCCCTTAGCAGCTCACTCCGCATGACCCCGCCGCTCCAGCCCCTCCGAGGCCAGCCCAGCACTTCTCCCTCTCAGCCTCAATTCCCGGACCCCTGAGGCCGCACTCACGGTTGGCGATGTCGCCCCCCATCTTATACTTGGTCACGACCAGGTCCTCGGCGATAGTTTGCTCCTGCTGTTCGTCCTCGCCCGACATCTTCCTACCACCACCACCACTGCAGCCTCGCTTCCCCTGAGCCGCCGCGTCTCCTTCCCAGCCGCGGGCTGTGGCTAGAGCCCCCTCGATCGGCCGGGAGAGCGCGAGCAAAAGCGCGAGCAAGCAAGGGAGCGGGCGGGCAGGCGAGAGCAAGAAGCTGCGAGCGCGCGGGCTGAGGCGCAGGGCACACTGGGACAACGAGTCCTTTCCACCGCTAGCCTCTAGCCGCCTTCTTGAATCGGCGAACTACAATTCCCAGCCTGCCTCTCGCTCCCCTAAGCCAGGCTCTGGGGCCTTGCTCTCCAAGGGCCTCGCACGCCGGAATCGCCGGGCACTCTGGGAAGAGTCAGGCTCCGGCGGGAAGGCGGCGCCGTTGGGGAGGTTGAGAGAAGCGTGGTCTCCCGGAAAACCCACATCTACCAGGATCGCTGAGTGAAAACGGGGCCTCGCACGCCGGAATCGCCGGGCACTCTGGGAAGAGTCAGGCTCCGGCGGGAAGGCGGAGCCGTTGGGGAGGTTGAGAGAAGCGTGGTCTCCCGGAAAATCCACATCTACCAGGATCGCTGAGTGAAAACCCTTAGTGGAGGGGGGCGGGCTGAGGAAGAAGGGGCGGAGCTACGGCGGAGCAGGGCGGATTAGGGTGGAGCGGAGGCGGGTAGGCAGTGTCTACACCTAGGGCGGTGAGTCCGGGTGCGCCCTTCCTCCGATCGGCTGGCGAGACCGGTCTAGCCGGTCCAACCGTCCTCAGATGCTGGGAGAACAGGGAGGGGGCAGAGTGGGTGTGGAAGACCAAGGGTGGTGGGAGCCAGAGGGATTATCCTTTCACGGCCTCCCAATCTAGAGGCCGGACTCCCACTGAAATAAAACGGCACTGTTCTTCCAACAGTGGGCTTCGATGGGGCACCTGAGGGAAGTGTTCAGAAAGAGCTTTGGAGGGCCGGCCCCTGGCTCACTTGGGAGAGTGTGGTGCTGATAACACCAAGGCCACGGGTTCAGATCCCTATATAGGGATGGCCGGTTAGCTCAGTGGCTGACCATGGTGCTGACAACACCAAGTCAAGGGTTAAGATCCCCTTACCAGTCATCTTTTAAAAAAAAGAAAAAAAGAGAAAAGATTTGGTGGCTTTCTTAAGAGAGTGAGATCTGGAGCATCTGGAGGCTTCTGGAGAAAGCACATCTATAGGGCTTTTTTCTAACTTTCCCAAACATGTGGATTTTTTGTTTTTGTTTTGTTAGTTGTCCTGTAGAGATTCCTAGTAAAACCCTTAAATGAAAAGGACTGTGCGCTATGCTTATTCTAAGGGAATACAAGTAAAAGTAGGGCTGGAGAAAGCTGGATGGGACAGATTAGGACTGTCAGAAGACAGAGAAAGTAGCTATCCACTGCTGAGGTGCATAGAAAAGGGGTGGTCTCTTAACTCACACTAAACATTTTTTTCATTCAACAGACAAGAAGCTGAAAAAACTTTGGCATTTTTATTCAGACATGTATAAAAACAAAACAAAAACTTCAATGATACAACAGACATTTCCCCTCAGTTCCCTATCCAAGGAGACAGAGGTCTGAAGTTAGGTCCCCTTTCTGTCCTACTCAATGAGAATAGCTCCTAAAAGTGGATCTTGGGGACCCTTGTGAATCTGTCCTTGGGTAAGGAGTAGAGATCATGTACAGCACATATGGGTTATAGTTTACACAAAGATGTCCAGTTATTTTTCCTTCTGACCTCCCCCTCCCCACCACTTCCTGAGATGAGAAGTCTGGATATAGGAGGAAGATGTGGTTGTTGGGCTTGGACTTTATTCAGTGCAAAAACAAGAAAATAGTGTTCCTTATAAGGGCTCTGACTTATATTGGTTTTCCTCGACACCTTACAGTAAGAGCACATGCATTAAAACTGGGAAAATTTTGAATCCTGGAACTGCTGCTTAATTTACTTACTCTCTTTAAGGCTCAGTTTCCTTATTTGTAAAATGGGATATTTATCTCATAGAATTGTTGTAAGGCATATAAAGTGAGAAAACGTAGGTAAAGTTCAGCATGATGCTTGGCTCATAGTAAATCTTCAATTAATAGTTAACATCTACTCCAAACCCCATACTTCACTCCACAAAATTGAAGCTTCCCAGTCTTTCTAGGGGGTTGAGTCATAAGCCAACATTTTAATTTCCTCTAGCAGACTTCTTCCCTTTCCTCTTCCTTAGGATAGTTTGATGGGCAACAAAGACACATTTAAGAGCTTAGTCCCAACAAGTCAGAGCCTGAGAGAAAGGGATGTGGGGAGTAATCCTTCATATCTCCAGGGAGGCCCCTTGAGGAAGCTGAGGAATGGGGAAGCACACAAAACAGGGAAAACCTTCCCTTTTCCTGGGGTTGGGAAAGGGAAGAAAGTGCACAGCTGGCTACATATCAGAGAATTTTGTGTCAAAGTATTTAAAAGCCTCCAGAGGTTGAATGGAATTGTCTAGGACTAGGGGAATGGGGCTGAGACCTGTGAGAGAGGACAGGGATAAGAGTGGTACCCTTCAGAGCACTAGCTGCCGTCAAATGTTCCCTGAGTGCCTCAGGGAGCAGGGGTTATGTTCTCTGGGCATTAGCCTTGGGGAAAAGCCTGCTATGCCAGTAATCAGGATTATCAAAGGCGGAGTCAGTGGCTTCTAAGCTACGTAGAGTTTTGAGGCGGGCATAATGGACATGGGGGGCATGGTGTCCGAGCCCCTGGAAAGCTCTCATCTCTTCATACCCTTGCTCAGCTGCTGGGCAGGCCCCCATGGCTGCATAATCCCCCCCAGGACCACTTCCACCACGTCGCCGATTCATATATTCATAGTCCTCATCTGGAGTTATGCCAGCAGTGGGCATGATGGGCACAGGGTGTAGTGGGCAACTCTGTGTGCTTCCCAGAGAGGCACTGAGGTCTGATCCCACCTCCATGTACTCATAACCCAGCTCCTCGAGGGAACCTGGCCTAGGGGGACGAGGTGGACTGTGCCTTCTCCTCCGGTTCATATATTCATACTCCTCATCTTCATCTTCTTCTTCGGTACCCAGGACAGAACTGAGACCCACTGAAGAAAGGGTACCTTCCCGGGAGGAGGGGGTACCTAGGGGTTGAGGAGAGAGGATAGCTATGTGGAGAACTTCGTGGTAATAGTAGAGGGTGGGGGAGAGGTAGAAAAAATGAATTGGGAGGGATATGATCAGAGAAGACAAAAAGAATTAAGAAGAGCCTGGAGAAAGGATTAGAGGAATTGAGGAAAGTCCTAGAAGAGTCAGGCACCTTTGAGGTGTGTATCCGGCATGACATAGCCATTGACATCCTCTTCCTCTAAGCCTGGTGAGGTGAGTGGGGTAACAGGAGTGAGCAAGCTGTGGCGCTGGGAATGGTAGGCACTGTCTCCACGTGGCCGTGGGCTCCGGCTCCTGCTCCGGCTCCTACAAATTGACACCTTCTCCTGGAGCTCGGCCTCAGAGCCTGTCACATGGCCCTCTGATGATTCTGATGCCAGGCGTCCCCGTGGCATTGGGTGCAGAGAGACTGGACGGGAGCACCGTTCACTACCCCCACAGACTCCAGATTCCTAAGGGAAAATAAACAGAAAAGAATACAAGGGGATATACACAGGAAAGAAAGACGAGGAAAGAAGAGACATTTGTTTAAAAGGAGATTGGGTTGTTCAATGCCTTTTTTGAAGGACATCGATTCAACCTCAAAGCTTTCTAATGTCTCCCACACTACCCCTGTCCAGTCCTAAAGCTCAGTCTTTTAGGAACAGAACTTACCTGGCAAGCTTCCCCAAGATTACTCTGGTTCATGGGCATGTATCCAGATGATGGACTTAAAAGGCTCTGGCTCTAGGATGAAAAAAGTAAGGAAAAGGTTAAGATGAAGGTAAGCCCCATGGGAGACTTTGAATAGTTAATCTGGGTATCTGTAAGGTATCATAAGGGCTCAGGATGAGTCTTGGGTAATTAGGTGTCTTACCCCACGTGGCCGGTTAAGCGTTCCAACTGGTGGGCTGAGGGCAGAGCCCAGCGTGGTTGCCAGGTTGTCCTCCTCTGCCTCCAAGTCTAGGTCTAGGTCTAGCTCTGGCTCCAGCTCTACTTCCTCCAGTTCCTTATTTGTCAGAGCAGGGGGCTCTGACCCAGGTGGTATTCCAGGCCCACTCTCTCTCTATAAGAGCAGGTGATTTTTTTTTTTAAAGATGACCGGTAAGGGGATCTCAACCCCTGGCTTGGTGTTGTCAGAACCACACTCAGCCAGTGAGCCAACTGGCCATCCCTATATAGGATCCGAACCCGTGGTCTTGGGGTTATCAGCACCGCACTTTCCCGAGTGAGCCATGGGCTGGCCCTAGGGCAGGTGATTGTTAAGGTAGATTCTGGACCACAATCAAATGTTCTTTTCGGGCTGGCCCATGGCTCACTTGGGAGAGTGTGGTGCTGATAACACTGAGGCCACAGGTTCAGATCCCTGTATAGGGATGACCGGTTAGCTCACTTGGGAGAGTGTGGTACTGACAACACCAAGTCAAGAGTTAAGATCCCCTTCACAGGGGCCGGCCCGGTGGCGCACTGGATGAGTGCGCCGCTTGGGAAGCGTGGCGGAGCTCCCGCCCGAGGGTTCGGATCCCACATACAGACCGGTTCCCGCTCACTGGCTGAGCGAGGCGCGGGAGCAACACCGAGGGTTGCAATCCCGTTGCCGGTCCCCGGTCCGGTACGGGGGCAACACTGAGGGTTGCGATCCGTTGCCGGACACGGAAAAAGACAAAAGACAAAAAAATAAATAAATAAAAAAAGATCCCCTTCACAGTCATCTTTAAATTAAAAAAAAAAAAAAAAGTTCTGTTCTACAAATTTCCTTGTGATCTCCTAGTCCCTACTCACTTTTATGACAAGGTACCGTGGTGGGTCTCGGGCCATTCTGGTGAACTCATTGGCTAGTTCTTTAAAGGTTGGGCGAATGTTCTCATCAATCATCCAACCTGGGGGTAAAATGTAGGAGGTAGAGCCATGAAAGGGAATAGAGTCATAAGAGGAGGGAGGGAAGTTAGTTAGAAAATGGCTGGGGTCAGCAGGTAACTTACACTTCACCATGACCATGTAGACATCAATGGTGCAAATCTGGGGCTGTGCCAACCGCTCCCCCTTCTCTAGCAAGTCTGGTAC